GTCTCTACAACATTGCGTGGTCATCGGGGGCAGTTCCTAGGGAGTGGCAGACCGGGGTGGTGGTCCCCATCTTTAAGAAGGGTGACCTGAGGGTGTGTTCCAACTATAGGGGGATCACACTCCTCAGCCTCCCTGGAAAGGTCTACTCCAAGGTACTGGAGAGGAGGGTCCGATCGATAGTTGAATCTCAGATAGAGGAGGAGCAATGTGGTTTTCGTCCTGGCCGTGGAACTGTGGACCAGCTCTATACCCTTGCAAGGGTGATGGAGGGGGCATGGGAGTTTGCCCAACCAATCCACATGTGCTTTGTGGATTTGGAGAAGGCTTATGACCGTGTCCCCAGGGGCACCCTGTGGGGGACGCTCCAGGAGTATGGGGTGGGTGGCTTTCTGTTAAGGGCCATTCAGTCCCTTTACCAGAGGAGCGTGAGTTTGGTCCGCATAGCCGGTAGTAAGTCGGACCTGTTCCCAGTGAGGGTTGGACTCCGCCAGGGCTGCCCTTTGTCACCGGTTCTGTTCATCACATTTATGGACAGAATTTCTAGACGCAGCCGTGGTGTGGAGTGTGTCGAGTTTGGTGGCAGGAGAATCTCGTCTCTGCTTTTTGCGGATGATGTGGCCCTCCTAGCTTCATCCAGCTCTGACCTTCAGCTCTTGCTGGGTAGGTTCGCGGCCGAATGTGAAGCGGCTGGGATGAGGATCAGCACCTCCAAATCTGAGACCATGGTTCTCGACCGGAAAAGGGTGGCTTGCCACCTCCGGGTCGGGGGAGAGGTCCTACCTCAAGTGGAGGAGTTTAAGTATCTCGGGGTCTTGTTCACGAGTGAGGGTAGGAGGGATCGGGAGATCGACAGGCGGATTGGTTCGGCGTCTGCAGTGATGCGGACGCTGAGCCGATCTGTCGTGGGGAAGAGGGAGCTGAGCCAGAAAGCCAGGCTCTCGATTTACCGGTCGATCTACGTCCCAATCCTCACCTATGGTCATGAGCTTTGGGTAATGACCGAAAGAACGAGATCGCGGATACAAGCGGCCGAAATGAGTTTCCTCCGTAGGGTGGCCGGGCTCAGCCTTAGAGATAGGGTGAGGAGCTCGGACATTCGGGAGGGACTTGGAGTAGAACCGCTGCTCCTCCGGATCGAAAGGAGCCAGTTGAGGTGGTTTGGGCATCTGGTCAGGATGCCTCCTGGACGCCTCCCTGGGGAGGTGTTTCGGGCATGTCCTGCCGGCAGAAGGCCCCCGGGTCGACCCAGGACACGTTGGAGAAGTTACATCTCCAATCTGGTCCGGGAACGCCTTGGGGTCCTGCCGGAGGAGCTGGTGGACAAGGCCGGGGAGAGGACGGCCTGGAGCTCCCTAGTTGGGATGCTGCCCCCGCGACCCGGACCCGGATAAGCGGAGGAAGACGAGACGAGACGAGACGAGGCGTGTATACGGTAATACCGTAATACCGCCCAAGCCTAGTACAGAACCTAATTATTTAATTAATTAGCTGCGCGTTCTCCTGTCCTCTGTCCTCTGGGCCACACACACACACAAGGGACTGTCAGCTGTTATTTTTGTTAAGGAGTGTGCACGTACAGCATGTGCGCCTCGTGCACGAGCCTACTATTGAAGCTGCCGTTACGCTTTTGGCCTGAGGGGGCAATCGCGAGCATAAAAATTCAAAACTCTGTAAAGTCCCTTTAACATTATGGTATTTACTGTAATCCTCCTTTTCAAAGGCCAGATGTTAAACCTGTATGACGTAGAAGCGTGTTCACTAAAGCAGCTGCACCAACCACTTTTATGTGAACAACTCAAACCCAAAGCATCGTTTCACTCATCTGGTTTTGCACAGCTACGTTATTGTTTATTGGACTGTGAGCATTGTCAGAATGAGTGTGAGCACACAGGAAGAATCCAGGTGCTGCTGTTCACCGTTCACTGTGCAGCAGATGTGTGCAGAGAAAAAGGGCGAGCTGATGAAACAGGAAGCAGAAAAAAAATCAAACTCTGTGGTTGAAGAGATTTTTGTTCCATGAGAAGATTCAGCCTTAAAGCTCCGTTTGAGAAACTCAAGGGGTAGCTAGTTTGGTGCTCCAGATGTTTCCTTTGGCTTGTAAATCCAGATATTCAATAAATGTTAAATACATGGTAAAAGTTGTTAAGCAATGCAGAGAAGGTGGCTAAATTCAGTAAGGTTTTGACAGTGATATCAGTCGGCTAAGAGTGCATTTGGACAGGGAAAAAAACCACACTTGCAGATGCTGGATGACCATCTGATTCATCATCAGTGAACAGACTCAGCTGGACAGTCAGTGACTTCTCTGATCACACAGAGGAAGCTCATCTGGCAGATGAAGCTCATTCAATCTCATTTTGGTTTGATTATTCTTCTCTGAACAGGATGTCTAGGTTTTACTTGCATCTTAACAGGAAATGTTGTGTTTTTTTTTCAGCAAGACTGTTGACATACATCCTAACACATCAGATGAATCAGAATGGTAAACTGGCTTTGAAAGCATTTGCTGCATTTGCAAACCAAATTCAGCAAACGTTGAAACTACAGAGGAGCTAAAACCTGTATGTGTATCAAATAGTGCTGCTCAGCATATTGGAAATGAGTCGATCTTGTGATATGGACATGTCCGATGTCCCTATGAATGGTAAAGGCCTGTATTTGTATAGCTCCTTCTTAGGGTTCTACAACCCCCCAGGGCGCTTCACAACACAATCAGTCATCCACCCATTCACACACTATTAATTCCTGACTCAAACATGCAAAGATTTAAGTCTCATCGTTGTCAAACACATTGGTGTGGTGAAATTTGTCCTCCACATTTGACCCATCCCTGTGGGGAGCAGTGAGCTGCAGCTGTGGCTACACTAGGGCTGGGCGATATGACGATTTTAGACCATTTTACGATCTACACATCTGACGGTCTGTCATTTTTGAGAGACCTTTTTATCACGATTCAAGGCTCTGCTGTTGAAATTCTGCTTCTGAATGAAAAGGGAACTTACCCCAGGCGAATGACACGCAACGTTGGGACTGTGTAAAATGGCAGACTTGACAAGTCAAGCAGCTGATTCTGAGCCCAAAAGATGTTCTAACGGTAAATACTGTAGTAAAATAAACGTATTAGTCCTTATTCTGTAAGATTTGTCTCTGAACATGGTGCTAGAAAGTGTCAGCAGTGAACCAACATCCCAGCGGCTGGAAAATTAGTCCTGTTGTTGCAATACCATCTCTGAACACCAGAGTCCACCAGAGTGTCCGTGCTCCATAGTCAACCTTTAAATGAAAATATCACTGATGCTGTGTCCTAGCACATCCTCAACTTAAGGGACAAGGGAATGTCTCTTGAACATCACTCAAAGCAGTTAACTAGAAACTGTTTTTACCACTTGAGAGAAATTTCTAAACTCAGAACAATGGTGTCTAAAGTTGATCTTGAGTTGATTATTCATGCGTTTACATCATCCCGTTTAGACTACTGTAATAGTTTATTTTCTTGTCTAAACAAAAAAGAGCTGTCTCGCTTACAACAAGTCCAGAATTGTGCAGCTAGAATTCTGACCCGTGACAACAGAAGGGCCCACATTACCCCCATTTTAAAAGCTCTTCATTGGCTTCCAATCTCATCTCGCATCAATTTTAAAATTCTTGTGCTGACTTTCAGAGCGTTGCATGGTCTGGCTCCATTGTATGTTCGAGACATGCTCTGCCCTTACACGCCTTCTCGCAGGCTGAGATCATTGGATCAAAACCTTTTAATGGCCCCACGTACTTAGTACTGGGGCGACGGTGGCACAGGAGTTAAGTGCTCGCCCCGTAATCGGAAGGTTGCTGGTTCGAGTCCCGCTCAGTCTGTCGCTGTCGTTGTGTCCTTGGGCAAGACACTTAACCCACGTTGCCTGCTGGTGGTGGTCGGAGGGACCGGTGGCGCCAGTGCTCGGCAGCCTCGCCTCTGTCAGTGCCCCCCAGGGCAGCTGTGGCTACATTGTAGCTCATCCCCACCAGTGTGTGAATGTGTGTGTGAATGGGTGAATGACTGATTGTGTTGTAAAGCGCCTTGGGGGGTTCCAGGACTCTAGAAGGCGCTATATCAAATACAGACCATTTACCATTTAGTTCAGGACACGAGGAGATCGCTCATTCCAGGCCGTCGCTCCTGGGCTCTGGAATGAGCTACCTCTGTCTTTACGCTCAATCGACTCAGTTGATGTTTTTAAGAGCAATCTTAAAACCCATTTGTTTCTCCAGGCATTTTAAACTTAGTCTCATTCGGATTGGTTGTATTTGACACTATGTATATTGTGGCTGTATTTTACTGTATTTATATGTTGTTGCCTTTTAACTTGTGAAGCACTTTGTGACTTTTTTGTCTGTGAGAGGTGCTATACAAATAAAGTTACTTACTTACTTACTTACTTACTTAAGAGTCAAGGTTCCAGATCCTTTATTGTCATTGCACAGGTGTACAGCCACATTGACTTTTCTCTCAGTAAAGATAGCTCATGTAATAGGTAGTAAAATATCAGTAAATTATAATAGCAAGGCTAAAATAGAAGTCATGCACAAGCTCTCTCTCTCACTCACACACACACACACACACACACACACACACACACACACACACACACACACACACACACACACACACACACACACACACACACACACACACACACACACACACACACACACACACACACACACAGCCAGTTTAAGGTGCAAACTGTAAAAGTATAATGTAAACATGGTAATAAGACAAGTCTAAACTACAAACTGAAATATAAAGTGAACATAACATAAATGTAAACAGTCACATGTTGAGGTAAACTGTTACTCTTAAGTTTTGTTATGAGCCAAAACATTATGACCCTGAGTTTCTGGGTTTGGTTTACCGCAGGCCCTAGCTACCTAACATCAGCCCTTATTTTAGTTTGCCTGTGGCATCAAACTAAACATGAAAACAGGATTTGTCTGATATGTTCCTCGTTGCTTCTCCCCTCCAGGGGCCTTCATGCTTCCATACTTTATCATGTTGGTATTCTGCGGCATTCCTCTCTTCTTCCTTGAGCTTTCTTTTGGCCAGTTTGCCAGTCTGGGATGTCTGGGCGTCTGGAAGATCAGCCCTATGTTTAAAGGTTAGTGTTGTCCCAGCAAATGCATTTCAGCAGGCTGACGTTTCCTCTGTCTGACGCTCCTCACCTGTGTTCTCTCTCTCCTCTTCAGGAGTGGGCTACGGTATGATGGTGGTGTCCACCTACATCGGGATCTATTACAATGTAGTCATTTGCATTGCCTTCTACTACTTTTTTATGTCCATGACAAACCTGCTGCCTTGGACGTACTGCAACAACCCCTGGAACACGCCGGACTGCAGCGGCGTGGTCGGCAGCGGTGCCCAGCTCAACGGCAGCCTGGTAAATGTTACCAGCAACCTGATAGCAGGGGCGAGCGAGATGGTGAACCGCACCAAGAGGACAAGTCCCAGTGAGGAGTACTGGAAGTAAGCGCTTCACACTTCACCTTCCAGAGTTGTGGACTCGAGTCACATGACTTGGACTCGAGTCAGACTCGAGTCATTATTTAATGACTTCTGACTTGACTTGATAAAATCCATAAAGATTTACAACTTGACTCGGACTTGAACGCCAACGAATTGCGACTTGAATTGACTTGCATCTGTTGACTTGATGATGACTTGAGCATATTTGATATTTCAGCACAAAAGTGGGTTCTGGGTTTGATTTACTGCTAAATGCAGCAGCACGTTGTTTATAATCAGTTTAAGTTGCACTTTCTGCTTGTTTAAGCAAATAAATGATGCTTTTTTTCAGGAATTTATTTATAATCGTCGTCGTCGTCGTCTTCCTCCGCTTATTCGGGTCCGGGTCGCGGGGGCAGCATCCCAACTAGGGAGCTCCAGGCCGTCCTCTCCCCGGCCTTGTCCACCAGCTCCTCCGGCAGGACCCCAAGGCGTTCCCGGACCAGATTGGAGATGTAACCTCTCCAACGTGTCCTGGGTCGACCCGGGGGCCTTCTGCCGGCAGGACATGCCCGAAACACCTCCCCGGGGAGGCGTCCAGGAGGCATCCTGACCAGATGCCCGAACCACCTCAACTGGCTCCTTTCGATCCGGAGGAGCAGCGGTTCTACTCCGAGTCCCTCCCGAATGTCCGAGCTCCTCACCCTATCTCTAAGGCTGAGCCCGGCCACCCTACGGAGGAAACTCATTTCGGCCGCTTGTATCCGCGATCTCGTTCTTTCGGTCATTACCCAAAGCTCATGACCATAGGTGAGGATTGGGACGTAGATCGACCGGTAAATCAAGAGCCTGGCTTTCTGGCTCAGCTCCCTCTTCCCCACAACAGATCGGCTCAGCGTCCGCATCACTGCAGACGCCGAACCAATCCGCCTGTCGATCTCCCGATCCCTCCTACCCTCACTCGTGAACAAGACCCCGAGATACTTAAACTCCTCCACTTGAGGTAGGACCTCTCCCCCGACCCGGAGGTGGCAAGCCACCCTTTTCCGGTCGAGAACCATGGTCTCAGATTTGGAGGTGCTGATCCTCATCCCAGCCACTTCACATTCGGCCGCGAACCTACCCAGCAAGAGCTGAAGGTCAGAGCTGGATGAAGCTAGGAGGACCACATCATCCGCAAAAAGCAGAGACGAGATTCTCCTGCCACCAAACTCGACACTCTCCACACCACGGCTGCGTCTAGAAATTCTGTCCATAAAAGTGATGAACAGAACCGGTGACAAAGGGCAGCCCTGGCGGAGTCCAACCCTCACTGGGATCAGGTCCGACTTACTACCGGCTATGCGGACCAAACTCACGCTCCTCTGGTAAAGGGACTGAATGGCCCTTAACAGAAAGCCACCCACCCCATACTCCTGGAGCGTCCCCCACAGGGTGCCCCTGGGGACACGGTCATAAGCCTTCTCCAAATCCACAAAACACATGTGGATTGGTTGGGCAAACTCCCATGCCCCCTCCATCACCCTTGCAAGGGTACAGAGCTGGTCCACAGTTCCACGGCCAGGACGAAAACCACATTGCTCCTCCTCAATCTGAGATTCAACTATCGATCGGACCCTCCTCTCCAGTACCTTGGAGTAGACCTTTCCAGGGAGGCTGAGGAGTGTGATCCCCCTATAGTTGGAACACACCCTCAGGTCACCCTTCTTAAAGATGGGGACCACCACCCCGGTCTGCCCGGGCTGGGCCCGGCCGGGCCCCCTGGGCGAAAGCCCGGCCACCAGGCGCTCGCTCACGGGCCCCAACCCCAGGCCTGGCTCCAGGGTGGGACCCCGGTAACCCTCCGGGCCGGGTACTCCGACTCTTCGTTTTAACCGCCATGAAAGATCCTTCGAACCGTTCTTTGTCTCACCCTTCACCTAAGACCAATTTGTCATGGGAGACCCTACCAGGGGCACTAAGTGCCCCAGACAACATAGCTCCTAGGATCATTAGGGCACTCAAACTCCTCCACCACGATAAGGTGACGGTTCAAGGAGGAGTTATTTATCATCATCGTCATTAAATTGAAGTTGGACAGATGACTTGATTATGACTTAAAAATTCAAAGTGAAGAACTTGGACTTGACTTATACGTCCACATCAATGTCAGAACTCGACTTGAACTTGATTGTCTTTGACTTGGACTTGACTCAAGACTTGACTGGAAAGACTTGTGACTTGCAAAGCAGTGACTTGGTCACACCTCTGTCACGTTCTCACCTAATATTTTCAGCAGACTCTGGAAAACTGAGAGGTGACTCGGGAATGCGGAGGGGAGATTTTATAATGATTGTTCTATTTTTCGAGTAGACATCAAGTTCCATCAACTCCGTTTTTATCAAATAGAAGCTCTTACCAGTACGGGGTGCTGAAGCCATCTTTGGCAAACCTCCATTCAGCATAGGAAGCCTAAGTCACGCCTATCTACTTCCAGACCACGGGTCCCCAGAAGAACGAAAAGATGAATGCAAGTCAATGGGGCTAAAAACCTATTTTCTAATCCTGCTTGTTTTGTTCCATGGATTTCACATATGATGTTCGTGAACTTTGAAAGCACATTTTGATACCAAGAAAGCTCTTATTTTTGAACGGAGGGAAATGTTATTTTAGGTTTTGTGTGAAAACATGTCCAGGACTACAAATGCGCTTCACAAAGTGACGTCATCGAACCAGACGCGGAGAAAAACAGAGGGATGATAGCTGTAAGCTCAGCAAACTTTAAATCCTTCCTTCGGGAGGAAAGAAGAACCACCATAAATCTGGCCATTTGGTGAGTAGCAGCTACACTAGACGAGAGGAGATTCTGTGGTGACGTCATATATGCGACGTACCGAATTCTGGTGTGTAGTCATGCTAATTACGAACTTGTACAAGATGATAAATCTCAATGTACGTGGCTGGCGTGGTTGAAACACTTTACATTTAAATTGCAGTACAACATATGTGCGATCCAGGGCCTACGGCTAAGCGGATTAGAAAATAGCCGTTTTAGCCCCGTTGACTTGCAGTCATTTTTTTCCTTCTTCTGGGGACCCATGAGCCGATCAGAAAGGGAGGAGGCGTAGGCTCCCTATTCCTGAAGAGGTTTTTAAAACTCAAGCTAGATCCCGTGTATTGCTAATTGAGGAGAAATGTATAAAGTTAGCTTCCAGTTTGATGTTTTGTTTTAACGTAACACTAACCCGAACCCATACAAGCATCATTTATGCCAGATTTTGAAGTGTATGTTAAAGGCTGGACATCAGCACTGACGGACTCTTGTTTGTTGTCCTGAGTAACATCTGTGGCCTAACTCCCACCTCAGCACCAACACACAGATGTTTATCTCTCACTGAAATAAATAAATAAACAAAACGATGCAGCTTTGAGCAGAGTCTGACACTCCTCAGGTCTGTTTGCCAGTATTGATCAGTTTAAAGCTTCTGTCACCGTTTTGAGGAAATCCACCTATAAACTTTTACAGGCTGTGAATGTAAACAGTTTATTCCCAATATTTTCCTTCTGTTTCCCATTCTGTCTCTCAGACACTACGTGTTGAACATCTCTGATGATATTGGGAACTTCGGAGAGGTCCGTCTTCCTATCCTGGGCTGCCTGGCTGTGTCCTGGTGTGTGGTCTTCCTCTGTCTCATCAGGGGTGTTAAATCATCTGGAAAGGTCAGCATCCAGACACGGATGGTCCCTAAATCACATAAACGTCTCTTAAATCCACTGATGAAAAGAATAAAAGTGTTTTTAGACTCTTTTGTGGGTAACCCATCTCAACAGCTTGTGAGTTTATCGTGTGTGTCCAGGTGGTGTACTTCACAGCCACATTCCCTTATGTGGTGTTGACCATTCTGTTTATCCGTGGCATCACCCTGGATGGAGCTATAAACGGCATCAAGTACTACCTGACTCCACAGTGGCAGAAGGTTCTGGATGCAAAGGTAGTGATGTGACCGGGTTTGTGAGCATTCACGGCAGGAAAAAGAGTGATTTAATCTTTACTGAAAATGTGTGTGTGTGTGTGTGTGTGTGTGTGTGTGTGTGTGTGTGTGTGTGTGTGTGTGTGTGTGTGTGTGTGTGTGTGTGTGTGCAGGTGTGGGGAGACGCTGCCTCGCAGATCTTCTACTCCCTTGGTTGTGCCTGGGGGGGTCTCATCACCATGGCGTCTTACAACAAGTTCCACAACAACTGTTTCAGGTTAGGCTAAAAAGTAAAAGTCACCACTCCATATAACGCAGCACACATTTATCACTATTGCAGCATCAGAATGTGCAACGTGCGACTCGAGCTCGAGTTAAAGTAACGCAACACTAAAAAATACCCACGAAAGTTCGATGGAAACATTAAAGCACAATAAACACACACACACATCTAGCTTATCTACCTACCAGACAGTTAAAATCAAACAAAAACATTCGTATTTACACCCACGGAAGCTTTTTATATACATAAAATATCATTTTGGTTATAAAATCAGGAGCTAAGCTGTGGCCCTTTAACCCTCTGGAGGCAGGCGTTGCAGATTTGCAACGTTAAAACCCACCGACCTGGTTACTCCACATACGTATTTCATGAGCAGTTTTTAACTCGGAAGTATCCCTGAAGGACTTAGTTGTTCGTCCTTTTATCAGAACTTAATTTGAGCCTGAGAGGGTTAAATTAATAATCAACACTAGGTGACCATATCCTGTGCAGAAATAAGACTGTGGGTACAGATCAGTGCAGTGATAGTGACCGCAGCAACTATCCCCTCCTTAGGACCAACTCTGTAGTTTTAGTCTGACTTTGTGGTTCTGGTGGATCTTATTTGACTGAGAAATGGGAACATTATTTCGAAATAGCCGCTGAACTTGGTGATGTAAGTTTGGAGTTGCTGGTTTTTCGGGTATGTTTATTCTGTTAGCCACAAACAGGGAATAGTTTAAACTAATCTACGAAGTATAAAGGCGCAGCTTCCCCTGAACCGGTCCATGCTGGCATTTTAAACTAATCCCATCATTTGTCAACTCACTTGTTGAGAAGTTATGAGGTTGGTCAAGTTATGAATACATAAAAATACATTGCGATCTGTTAAGCTGTTTTAGATCTCACTGGATTCAGAACTCTCAGGAAGTGAGAAGAAAACACTTTTCAGGAAGAAAACTAAATTTGTCTCAATCAGGAGCTGCTAGTTTAACCCTGACCAAGTGAAGCAGCAGAGACGGTGTGATGGAACAAAGTCAAGAGATTTTCAGGTTTTGTTAAAAAAAACACTGTTAGGACTGTTTGGTCAATGAAAGGGAAGATAAAGGGAATTTTTAAAACCCCATTTAGTTTCTTAGCTCTCCCAACAAGCTGACAGCCGGTGCCAAAGGAGTGCAGCGGGGCAAAGAAGAAGGTTGAAGATATAATTTGTTTCTCAGCCAGGAGCCTGAGATAGTGCTATCAGTCCACGCAGCTGCGTGGAGGTGCTAATCAGCTTGTGTTCTGCAGCTCCATCCCTGCGGAGACACCTCCTGCTTTCCTGTAACACCACCACTTGGTGCACATGCAGAAGTGCAGAGTGTTTGACCGAGCAGGAGTCTCGCGGGTGAGAAACAGAGCAGCATCAAAGCTATCAAAGACATCCTGTGCGAGGAATCTAACAGGAAATGTGTGAAGGATGAGGCTCTAGCTCATGTTTTAAGTTGGAACAAAGTCAGAGGAAGTGGAAAAGGGGAAAGGAGTGGTGTTCTGCACAAATCTGTCAGTTGTCAGAAAACGGAAAGCAGCTACATGGATAGCCAGAGCAAATCCAAGCTTACCCTACAAACAGTCAATGTTGCATGGACGTGCAGATTGTGTCTATGTTGAGTCTGTCAGTCCAGACCACGTCTGTAGGATGTCCAAACTAGGTATTTGCACAGTGGGTAGGGGTGGTTCAGGTCCATAAAGGTCTTATTAACTCCAAGTTTCTTTTGGGATTTAGTTTCAATTTAAAGTTTATGGTGAGTGAATTCTGACTAAAAATTTGGTTCGTTGATTTTAAGTTTAAGTTTTAAGTTTAAGTTTCTGTCAAAATAATGTTTTTAGGACGAGGAAAGGATTTTTAACAAAGCTGATGTTGACTTTCACTTTTGTGAATATTTAAACAACCCTGTTACCCCCCTCTGATTGTTGCTTTGCTCTAATCTGCAACAAACTTACAGTTAGTGATAAAGATGATATGTTTTAGTAAGACCAAATTAGACTTGATGGGTACGTGTGGAGTGATGGAGTTGTGCTGTTGGCAGCACAATGAGCTGCCCAGTTCTGCAGCTTGAGGAGCAAACGTTTGTTGAAAGATGAAAATGGTCTAATCTAGTGGTAAATGGGTAAATATGATAGATAGATCATCTTTATTGACAGACTCTTAGGTCCAGATAAAATACATATAAAACAAAAGATCATCAAAAAAACAATTAATGAAACAAAATAAATAAATAGAAATAAAAGATAACAGCATAAAATTGAATAAAAATCTAAATGTAATTTAAAAACTTTACTAAAAACTGCTCCACACAAGGTTAACCACACAAACACTTCAACCTGTGTTTCCTTATACTGGACAAATAGCGACAACTGCTCACAGTAGGATCAGTGATTGCTAAAATTATACTGTTGGCAGAGCTATCCAGTCGGCCTGTAAAAGTGAATATAAGTTTTCTTAAAAGTGCTTTAAAAGTACGAATGCCTGCTATTACAAACATCTCACTGATGTTTTTGATACGATTTCAAATGCATTTCAGAATTATCCCAAACAAGTTCTGGGTGCCTTCACTAACAGATGCTAGGTGATGTTTAGAATCCTGCCGAATCCTTTGGTGTTTAACTATTATTTTTTAAAATCTGAGATGTTTAATGCCATTTAATGGTAAATAGCCTGTGTTTGATATAGCGCAATCTAGAGTCCTAATCAGAAACCTTCTGATTACTGGACAACCCGCTCCACCTCCTGAGCTACAATTGCCCAAATCAATAATAATCAATGTTTATTTTGAGGGGTTTTGCTCCAATGATTCAAATTTTATTTAAAAAAATACTACCGTAATTTCCGGACTATAGAGCACACCTCAATATAAGCCGCACCAACAAAAGAAATGGTTTTCTACACACACACACGCCGCACTCAAATACAAGCCTCGGCGCAGCAGCCACATGCGGGTCTCCGGCGCACAACGCATGTACGGCCATAACATAAGATATTTAGACAGAAAGACGCTACACGGAAGTTTTTCGTTGTTGATTTAATTCAACAAAATGAATTTTAAACACGGGTGAACGTGCCTGCAAGTTTAGAAAACAAAACAGCACCTGATAGCATTCTTATTTCTGGATGGTTATAAAATAAAAGCAGAACTGACACGTTATTGCCGGTCATTTGCATGCATGTTTAGAAGAAAAGAACCGCTGACAGCCTTAATAAGCCCTGGATGATTAGAAAATAAAAACTGCACACAAAACATGCCTGGTTAGTAAATAAAACACACTTGCCTCTCATCTTCCTCCTGTGCACTAAAGCCATTAAAGTCCTCTTCCTCAGTGTCGAGTTGAACAGCCTCAGAAGAGCTTCGTCACATACCTCTTCTGTGGCGATTTCAGTGTCACTGTCCTTGTTGCTGTCATCATCCCGGGTGAAGCTGGCTTGAACGAGTTCTTCCCACTGCCGTCTCCAGCGCCGAACCATGGATTCATTCATGCCAAGCTCACGTGCGGCAGCACTGTTTCCCTCCTTTACTGCCAGATCGATGGCCCTCAACTTAAATACGGCATCATATGAACTCATACGTGTAGTTACCATGATGAGGGGGTATGGATTTGAAAATAATTCTTCGTCGTGCCGGCTGCTTGCATGTGCTAAATTAAAATGAGCACTTTCTTCGATTTCCACTTTTGACTTCCACCTGTTTTACTTTCTGCTAAAGCGCCCCCTGGCAGGTGAAGAGAAATCTTCAGTAAAGCTGCACCTCATTATAAGCCGCGTGGTTCAAAGCGTGGGAAAAAAGTAGCGGCTTATAGTCCGGAAAATACGGTAAATACAAATCTGACATGTGCGTGGAATCAGAATCAGGTGTGCTTAATGAATCCCACAGCGGATGAGTTTGTTTTTGGTAGTTTTCTTTGTCCCTGACACTTTTTATATATGTGGGAATTGAAGGAAAACTGTATATGCATCACGTAAGGAGCACAAGTAAGCATTTGCTGTGCGTCTGTCCACACTTTTATCTTTGTCTTTCACCAGTTAGCTAAATGTTGTCCTCCCTTTCCAACCTCCAGAGACAGCATCATCATCAGTATAACCAACTGCGCCACCAGTGTGTACGCTGGCTTTGTCATTTTCTCCATTCTGGGCTTCATGGCTCACCACCTGAACGTCCCCGTGTCGGAGGTGGCCGACCACGGCCCGGGCCTGGCCTTCGTGGCTTACCCAGAAGCCCTCACTCTGCTGCCCATCTCTCCTCTCTGGTCCTTGCTGTTCTTCTTCATGCTCATCCTGCTGGGACTAGGAACCCAGGTGAGACACATGGGAGGGCTGGAGATTTTTACTCCACGCCTGTTTTTTTACTTTGAGTTTTTCTCAAATTTTAATTAACATTTTTCTTTGTTGTTGTCTTCGAACCAAAATTGAGTGAACGCTTTGGGGGATTTTTTGTAGTAAAAATTCATATTTTAATAGAATTGATGTTGTTTTTTTATGAATTTTTTTTTGTATGTTTGCCATGCACAGAGGCCAGAAAATACTCAAAAATTTAAAACCAACCACTGTTTTTTATTTTTTTATTTTGATATTGTACATTCAAAAAAGGACAGAGATGAAATCTCAGCGTCTATAAACTTGCATTATTTTCCTTTTAAAGCACAAGGCTTAGTGGTCTGGCTACAGAGGGGTTTTTGTTATCATTTGAAACACGTGGTGTGTCGATCCACTTCACTCAGAAAACATACGTCACTCAGTTTGGCCAGAGGAGAGAATACCGTTGATCTAAAATGCCAAAGTTTGAATGACATTTTTAGTCCCAGTTCTTAACACTACGCATTAAATGTCAGTGAGGATGATTTTTTTTTGATCATCAGTCAAAAGTATCATCACAGTTCTCTTATGTCATTAAGGGCAGCGCCTGTTTTATCTAAGCTCCAGTTATGATCTCATCCTGGTTCTTGTAGTTTTGTCTCCTGGAGACATTGGTGACGGCCATCGTGGATGAGATCGGTACCGACTGGATCATCAGGAACAAGACCATCATCACACTGTCGGTGGCCGTCCTTGGTTTCCTGCTGGGGGTGCCTCTAACGACACGGGTAAAAGTCACCTGCCGGAAAGCAACCTGTTTTACGTTCCTGAAGACATTTTGATCAGTTTCTGGTTCCTGTCCACAGGCAGGAATCTATTGGCTGCTGCTGATGGACAACTACGCAGCTAGCTTCTCTCTGGTCATCATCTCCTGCATCATGTGTATCTGCATCATGTATGTTTATGGTAAGAAAGGAGGACATGACTGTTCCTGAAAATCTTGTTTGCTCTCCAGAACAAATTCTTTTTTTAATTTATTTTTTTAGATTTATTTATAGCGTCTTTGTTAGCATGCTGCTGTAAACCCACATAAAACAAATGGAAATGCCATCGTGCAGGAGACAGAAATGGTAATTTCCTTCCTCTTATCCCGGTTGAATAGGCCGACCTTTCAGTACAGCATGTAAATCTGTACACCTACGAGGCTTTATTAGGCTAATTACTGGTTTCGAGGCCCGACACATTGCTGCGCCACTGGAAACATGATGACACAAGCATGCTATTAGTGCGCACAGACAAAACCGCGAATGTAAAGACTAAAAACAGAACAAACAGGAAGAAGAAAGGCCTCGGAAAACTCTTTCATTTTAACATGAACTTAAGTAGGATGCAGCTGATAGTGTAAAGTTATTAAGGCTACTTACAGACGTAGAACCCTGGATGTATTTTCCCTTTTGGTCGTGTTATTTTGTCTGACTTTATACCTGTAAACAGATGAAGGAAGGAAGCAGCAGAAATAAGATCAACTGATTCAATAAAAACTATTTTTAAAGTTGACCATTCAATTACAATTCCTCTAGAGTAAATAAAATATCATAAATTTTCAACAAAAAAGACTGAGCAGACTAGTATAAACAAAATTATATATGCAAAAGCTTTTATTGGCCTGATTGTCACTGACCTGATTAGAGGCCGACCGATATGGGTTTTTCTAAGGCCGATGCCGATCCCAATTTTTAAAGACTTTAGTTGCCGATATCTAAAGCCTATATATATATATATATATATATATATATATATATATATATATATATATATATATATATATAAGATACTGAAAAATGTGGTCTGTAGAGGAAGAGAAATCACAAAGGGTTTTAAATTTCTATTTTAGTTTTTATTTGACTGTAATGAAAAGACAAAATGTTAATAAAACCCGACAGCAGAACTAACCTGAGGTGTGGAAAGCACCTCCATCAAACCAAACCTTCTCAGCTAACATGGACGGATCTTATTTTCTTTATCTCCTGCAGGTCACAGGAACTACTTTAAAGATGTTGAGATGATGCTGGGATTCCCTCCTCCTCTCTTCTTCAAAGTCTGCTGGAGATTCATCTCCCCTGTCATCATCTCTGTACGTTAACACGCACACACCTGCTGACCTGAGACCAGTCCGGCTACATACAAAACACCTTCAGAGACTGTACTTTGCTGCCCAGCAGTGTAAAAAATGTTGAGAGGAGCGTTGTGTTGGTGACCAGTTGTTTGGGACCTGACCTACATTGCAGCTGCCAATCTCTCAGCCCACTGTCGGCTTCGTTTCGGAGTGTAAACCTCTCAAAGCAAATCTTTGTGAGTGGGGAAATGGACACATGCAGCTACTGTCAATGGTATTTCCCAAACAGCCGAATTAGTCCACTAAGCTACTGGGTTCCACCAAGAAATTAATTGCTGAGGATTAGCGGGCAGATCTCGAGTACTTTTGTTCTCCATTTCATTTCACTTGACTGAAGATTGCTCTGCCCTCCAGGGTCCCTATTAACGCAAGGGCTAAACTCACTGCTGCTGGACCCACTCATTATCTTTGATCTTAATGATCTGCAGCTTGAAAATAAATAAAAAAAAACATCTGATGTGTTTCTGTCAAAAAGGATTTCATAGACATGTATTTCTTTACAGTTTTAATGTGTGACAGTATTTTTGTACACATTGTACTAAAATGATGCATTTTGCGTTTCCCTTGCTGTCGCTGTAGTTCATCCTGATCTTCACGGTGATCCAGTACAAGCCAATCACCTACAACGACTACATCTACCCCAGGTGGTCCCTGGCTATTGGCTTCGCGATGGCTCTGTCCTCAGTCATCTGCATACCCATCTATGCTCTGTACAAGATCTCTAGGTCCCCAGGAGCCACTTTCAGAGAGGTACAGCATTTGTTTTATTTTCAAGGTGTTATAACTGTCAGACAAACCCACAGCTCTAAAATAAAGCTGGTTTAATGTTGGTGCGCAAGAGCTGCAAACAAGAAAGAGTCAAACCTCTCTGAGCTCATTAAATGCTGTCATTCATTAGTCCTAGCTGAGCAGCTCATCTCTGAGTTATCACGAGGAACCTGAGACAGAACCCTTCCTCCAGGTGGATGAGGTTTCTACTCCTGAATCCCCTGAAGGATGTAGTAGTTAGCTGGAGGGCTGCAGTGCTCTCAGCCTCAGTCCTCGGCTCGAGCTGCAGTAAAGAGCAGAGACATGAAGCTCCAAGAGAGAAGCTGCAGCTGTCACTCAGCAGCAACTCTAGGAAGAGAATGATGCTACAAGAAGCTAATCTGTTAGCAAAATATCATTCATTCTCCATTTTCTCCCCTAAACAGACATGCTTCTGTTTATTTCTCCCTCACAGAGGTTGAAGTTCGCATGCCAAGCTCACCCAAAGTGGGGCCCCGCCCTGCAGGAGCACAGGACAGGCCGCTACGCCCCCATGGCCTCAGAAGACACTGTGGAGGCCCGTCCCTTAAAGGAGAAGGAGGAGCAGAAGGAAGAGCAGAAGGAAGTGGAGAAGGAGAGGAAGGAGGAGATCAGCCTCACCATCCAAGGAAGCAACGGCTCCACCAACACACACAACAACCCCAACCCCAGCGCGTAGAAGCCACACCTCCCCACCAGCGCCACCGGGGCATGGCCTCCACATCCCATCATCTCCTCCTTCTCTTCTTCCCTTCTCCTATCTTCTCCTCCATCCTCACCCTACTTTCCCACAGTCCACTGTGGGGGAGATCCCATTTGCTGGAGACCTTTACATATTGTAAGGGCTTATTATATCTATCCTAACCTCTTCTATCTGTCTGCGTGTTGTCTCTAGAGCAATGAAAAAAAACTGAAAGGAAGGAGAAACTGTCCCATTATCCAAAAGACGAGTGTGTGTGTGCGTGCGTGTGTGTGTGTGTGTGTGAGAGAGCTGATCATTTGTCCCACATAATTTAATAATACAGTTTCTTTTTCTTTCATGTTTTTTTTGGTGTAAAACTTGTAAATGTCATCTTCATCAGCAGTTAGAGGTACAGTAGATTGTGAAGCTGCATGTTTTTCAGCATGCAGCTGCAAAGAGACACACACACACACCCCGTTCTCCTGGATTCAGTTGGCTGGTTCTGTTTGGGATGGTGGGAAGTCTGCAGAGGTGGTGGCTGGACCTGTGGCGGTGCTGTAGCGTAGAGCGAGGGAGGGTAAACGGTGCCGGTACAGGTCATTTACAGTCTGATGATGCTGAAAAAGGAAAGCGGGCTTCATTCTGTAGCTGACATAGCCGGCGGATGGACCGAGTCACGCTTTTACACTCTGTATATTTCACACAGCACACAGTGACCTCAACATTAGTTGATCTCAGCTTAGAACTAAGCCTGTTGCTTATTTTTATGCTGCTTATTCTTTAAATAAAACGTGGAGAGCACAAATAGATTCCATCATACGGGAGTAAAGGTGAATGGCACTTAAGGCTGATGTCTGTGAGCAATTTTACCTTATTTTTTTTATTATTTTTGCTTAAACTGTTTAGACTTAAGGAACTTAGCAGAGAAATACCACTGAATTGTACTGTAAATCTGCATTTATTCACACGTTTCTTAAAAAGGAACTTTGTTTTTGACAGAGGAGGTCCCATTGGGCATTTCTCAGGGTCCAAGGGAAGGTAAACTTTATGGTTCCTCACATGTGGAAACTGTTACATGGACTCAAACCAACACGTCAAAACAATCCACACATGCACACGTAACCAGGTGGATGCAACTCCACGTCTATAGAAGTGCCCTCTTTTCTGAAGTCTTCCAGACATTTTTTTAGGGGTTCAAATGCATCTTGGTCTTTGTGGTTTGTGAAGGAGAATCGGCGTGTGGTAGTCGGTGTCTCTAACGGCCCGTAGCAGTGCGCTCCCATCCGACATGCTACCTAAAACACTGCCTGCGTTACGTGAGTGTTGCACATGTTTTTTTTGGACTGTCTGTGGAACCTTTAATGTATTAAGAGACACTTGTTTTACAGCTCTGAGCTGAGCTGTGTTGTAGCTAACGGAGAGACAGAAAGCAGAGAGATGCTGCTCGTTTCCAGAAGAAAAGAACATGGTGATGAATTCAGTAGGTTTTAATCTAGCTTCATAGTCGTGTTCTGTCTTTAGACGCCTCCTTTTTACCTCTCAATGTAAATGAACTAGTAAATAAATAATTATAAAGACAGCTTGTTTATTTTGTAAAAAAAAAAAAAAACTAGACTCGTGATTAACCATGTTTACCATTCCTCATCCGTGACTGGATTTGTTGTAGTTTGTGTTAGAAGATGAAAGGGTGATGTCGAGGGGCCTCTGTAGTTGATACAGCTTGGTTAGGGTTAGGGTCATCATGGTCAGGTGTTTAATCACCTGACCAGGTGCTGGTTAGGCTCTTCAGCTTCACTAACGAGCCATTTGTGGGATGAGGTGCTCTTTTCAGGTGAATTCTTGAACTGAGCCTTAAAGGTTGTACACTTCTGGGTGAGCTCTGAGAATATAACATATACAGCACATTTAAGTGTGAGGTCTGAGGTATTACCACCGTTTCTTAGCCTTCCAAAATATTTTTGCTTAGCAGAGATATAAAAACAGCTTTCTAAAAGCTCCACGCAACTAAAAATGTACCCAGTTCGTCTCTAAGCACTTCAAATTGTTAATATTTAGCTAGTCAGATCTCTTGTATTTAAAAATGAAAGTGCAGATTTCAGTCAGGCCAATCTGGCACACAACACCCTAGATAACCGGTTTGTAAAATAGTTTTAAATCAAAGGCTCTGTCCAAATTTAGGGGCTGCTTCCTTAAAATGATGCATTTGGAGACTGATTACGTCGCAATGATGCAACTTGAAGTGTCCATATCCGAAGGCTCCTCCAAATGTGTCCCGTTTTACCCAAATTCAACGATGGGTCTATTTTATCCTTCATGGACACCGTATCCCAGCATTCATGATGGCGGATGAAAGGGTAGATGTTGCTGTTTTAAATGTCGGTGTTTTAAATTCTGGTGGTACACATTTTAAAGGTGTAAACACTGAAAGTCTGTTTTCTAAATCTTATTTCTGATTATAATGAGTCACTCTGAGTTTTTCATGCAGGCTGAACATGAAAATAGTCTGCTACACATATCTCCTGCGTTAGCATCTGATGGAAAATAGATGACAGAGTTGCGTCCATGGTCACACCGTCTCTTAACCTTCATGGACTCACCCATCTTGGCTCACAACAGGGAAGGTTGTTGTTTGTTTAGTGTCCAGGAAACAGCAGAGAACATCTCGAGTAATAGAAGCTAACCGTTAGCATTCACAACTCCACCACACAGCAAAACTCCTCTTGGCTTATGTTATTTGTAGAGATAAAAGATCAATGCTGCAGAACAAGCAGAGTCAGCAGTAGAGCAGCGTTGCTGTTATCCAGTTCGAGGCGAGACGCCCACGTGTCAGGAAATAAGACTCCAAATCCCGCTGTGTGAAGCCCTCCTCTGATACGGCTCACTTCTACTCCTACTAGAAACCACTACAAATGTATTAATGAAACAAGTGTTCCACACTTACAGTTTGTTAGACTTGTTTTCGTAATTTTTGTAGACACGTATTAGGTCGGTGAAGTTGCTGGATAATGAAAGAGCTCTGAAAACCTTTCAGCTCCATTTTTACTTGCTTCTGTTTAGTGTTGTCAGGGTTACTACGAACCAGACAGTCCAAGCTAAGGGTGGGGATACTTTCGACTCTGTGGCTTGATTGACCAGGAAGTAGGCCCTGAATTTGGACGCAGCCAACTAAAGGTTTGAAACCTGCTACCAGTTAGGCTAAGCTAGGCTAATACTAACTGTAGCATAAGTTGTTATGTACAAGACGTCAGATACGTCTACACTCAAATAGAATTTTCTGGTGAGAAAACCTGATTTTTTTGTGTTACAGATGCAAGATTCAGTGCGTGTCTCAGACCTCCCAGTGGAGAAACTGGGGTATTAAAACGTTATCTTATAATAAGACTAACAAAATATATATTTTCATTAACAGAAAAATATCTGGAGTAAAGTTGACAGGGCCTTACATTTATCTGATTATAAATATTCTTATAAAGAAAGAAATGTAAGCACAGTATTTTCATAATTATTGAATCATTCCTTCCTAGGGTCTATGTAATGAAATACTGAAGCACAGTGTAAACTAAATTGCACATTTTTCTCTTCTGTGTTCACATTATTTCTACAATCAGCTGTTTAAACAAGTAAAAGTTGGTTTTTCAATCATGCAACTGCAGTTGCTCTAAAATTCCAGCAGATGGAGCAATGATGAGACTCAGAGGGTAATGGGTGAGACTGAGCTCAGTAAACAAGACCAAGATGGCCGAAAATGTCGAACGTTTCAGAGAAAACAAAACAGTATTAACAGTGACCATGTTATAATAAGCACACATTATTGACCAGCTAATGATTCAATCCAAAATATGAGGTACTTTAAGATATTTTTAAATGAAAACAAAAGCAGGTTCACTGTGACATAGTGTCTCCATCATCTAATCTTAATTTGTGTAAACTATCAGGACTTCCTAGATTAGGATTTACTTGTTGACAGATGTAAACAGGAAGTGAATATGTTGTGTATACCGTGGGACAGCTCATGGCTCTGACCGTTTCCTGTTTGTGATGGCCTGCTGTGTTTGTTCATGTTGTAATAAGTGAAGCATATCCACCACGCTACCACGCCTTCACCATCTCTTCCTCTGGCCCCTCATCTCCCCCTCCTATTGTACAGTAATGTAAAAACAATATATAATCAGACTGTGTATGTGTTTGTTTTTTCCTTTTTGGGGGGAGGTTGGCTGGGTTTATGCTTCTGTAGGTCCGGGAAGGGCAGGTTTTGATTGATTTTGTCATATTTCTGGTAGCATATTGTAGACATCGTCAGGTGTATTGTGCATTCTGTGTCTAGTGGAGTAGCTCTTACTGCTGAGCCTGCATGTAGAGCAGGTGTAGTGTCAGTATTGATGTCCGTGTACCTCTAATACACCGGAACTAGCCCTGCTGTATTCCTGCTAATAATATACAAACTTAGTATATTTTAAGAAAGGAGGAAAACATTATTTTGTACTAAAAGAAGAGAAAGATTACCTTCTGATTTGCATATCCGTGTTCACTGACTACCTTTTCTCTGTTTTTAAAGTTGTATACTTAGAAGATAAAGCCAGCTGATATTAAAAAGCATTGCCAAACAAAAAGCTTTGGATGGAGACTTGAACCACAGAAGAACGGTTAGTTTTTACCGTGCGCTCCGGCGTAGACACAAGTTGCAGCTACATATTTGTTGTTTTATATTTTAACAGTATTACACCCCTAAGCTGGTCAGTGCCAACAGTCATACAACCTTGGATATCTTGTGGGCCCCTTACTGTGAGCAGTTTAGCAGGTTCTGATGATGTTGCTGAATCTAAACGCCAAAGTGAGTCTGTAACCGAGACCGAATCAGCAATCAGAACTCACATTTTTTGTTTTGTTTTTATGTCAAAATCTTTTTAGATTAAAATATTTAGGCAAATAATGCAGCAAGTGTTAAATATTAATCTTCATTTATGAACCTGCCATATGCTCCTCCTAATGAAACACGACTGACATCCATTAATAACTGACACAAAATGAAAATTCCATTACCGTCACTGTGGAGAAGTAGCTGGTGTTGAGGCATGAAGTAGGTGAACGTTGAAAACATTTTTAAGCACAAATACATAGATCTTAATTAAAAAGCTGTGATTTCACATGATTTCTGTGGTTTTCAATGAATTACAGAATGTTACCTCTTGAATTTCTTACTACTGCTCGAATAGAAATAATCTCATGTTGCAGCACTTTACAGAAATCACCTGTTTCTGAATAAATTCAAATCTTCATGTGAAACAACACGTGTAAAGTGAGTTCAAGGCTATTGCTGATAGACATCAGTGTTGTTGCTAAGAGGAAGAAAAGAAAAGAAAGCATGAGAGAAGAGAACAGTTCTTCTGGTACCTTCTATCATATATTTCTGTCGATCTATCTAATCGTGTCTGTTCTTGTTCTTCATTCTTTTAGGGCCAAAATCCATTGAACTGTCTTAGTCCTGTCGGCTGTATATCGTAAACTGTTGCATTACAAAATGGCGAATAAAATCTATTTTAAAGATCAGTTTGTGTCTTTTATTATAAAAGAGTGAAGGAATAATGCACATCTAAATTTCATGAGTCTCACAGCTTTAAGGAAGATGTTACCTGCGACTTGTCTGGGCTTTGAGGCTACTCAACCTTCTACCTGAAGGAACACAAGTGAGTGGTTGTAGGTTTGGATGGGTGGGGTCCACCATCATTATGTTCTTTATTCTGGTTCTGTGTTTGCTGATGTAAATGCCCTCTAAATCAGTAGTCCCCAAAGGTAGTGTTGGGACCAGTTTGAGTAATAAAACATTACTTTTGGGGTCAAGAGATGATTTGAAGACAAGGCTCACTGAGAAACCGTTTTTTACTTACAATAATCCCTCAGTTTCACATGCAGGCTGAACATCGAAACAGTCTACTACCCCTATTTCCTGCAGTGGGGAAAAGCTGGATTTAAGAAAAGCAGTCAGATCTGTGTCACACTGAAAATTAGCATTCAGGGATTTGCCCACCTTGGCTTGCAACGAGGAAGGCTGATGTTGGTTTTTGAAGCCAGGAGAGAGCAGAGCACACCCTAGCTAGTTCAAGCTAACTGTTAGCATTAGCAACTGCACAGCTCGGCAGAACTCCTCCAGACTTATTTTGGGAAATAAAACATTGCAGAACAAATGGCAGTGGAAGGGTCACATTGCTGTCAGCCAATCAGAGGCGAGATGTCCAAATAGCATGAACATGTTCATGCTATTTGCAATAAAGAGTAGGACTCCGTATCTTGTTGTTTTCTGCCTCTCTCCACCAGCTAACTTGTATCTGCTGAAACCAGAGTGTGAGAGCTTTATTTTCCTCAGGTGTTTTACTCTGACACAATTAGCCAGATGCATCAAGAAGAAAGTCCTGATCATTCATAATAAGAGTAATTTGTACAGTTTATTTTTTGCTCTGAGCAATTAAAACAACCTTCCCATTCAGTTTCCCTAATGAGACCCAAAGGATTGTAGCAAGGCAGAATTAATGGGAATCATTAAAAGTGTGTCACATTAAGTAGGATGTACTGATAGCAAAAGTAGGGTTGATGAATTTTAATTTAACTGCAATCTGCAGTTATAACACCAGGTGGCACTTGCCACCAATTACATCAAGCCCCAGCTTACACCTGAGAAAGTGGCATTGTTGGTTCTTTTTTAAAACACAGAAAAGGTTTCTTTTTACCTTGCTGATGACAGTTTCGTTTGTGGCTGCGAGCTTCCTCAGAGCTGATGGTGATGGTGGCGTCACTTCCTACTCCGTTTATCAGCAGGCAGCAGAGGGCGACAACGTCCGCTGCTGCCCGCTCTCCCCTCTCCAATGATGCAGTCCCGTGCATGATCCGATGTGTAAACCCCATCGTCTCTGTTCATAGTCCCACATCCATGTCTCCTTATCTCTATAGTTTCCTCTATCCATCTTGTCTATTTCTGCTGTTCTGTGTTAATGATCCTTGTGTTGTCCCAGTCCATTATATAGTTTTCTCTTGTGCAGTGATCTGTTACAGCTGACTTCTTTATTGTGCTTTCTGCTTCTTGTCTTGCTGCTCTTGTGTGTCTTCAACTTGCCTCTTTCTCGCACTCCTTTCTATGTTCTACGCCATTTTAAATTTAACACGCTGGAATTGTTAGTTTTGTATTTCGTGCACAAAGCCATGACAGTCAAAACAAATATATATTAGAAACAAACGTAAAAATTTTTGAATCTCATTTATGTATTCTGCATTTAGAAGAGACATAAACACATTTCTATACAGAGTCAGAGGAGGGCAGCATGGCTTCAAAAATGGAAACTCATCTATCTGCATGCAGACAACTGCAGCGTGGAAGCTCTGCCCTGGTGTGAAGAATCTCCAAAGCTTCAGAGGCCTGAAGCAATGAGAGAATGCTAACGCTTCATTTTAGTTTCCTTTGTATGTGTGCATTTATTTTATTCTCAGAGAATAAAGTCAAATACTAAAATATTCTACTTAAGAGATATTTTCTACCACCTAGGTAGGAAACTGTAGGGATGCAAATGAAAAGAACTTCTCAAATATGTCTGCAGCCAGGAGAATGAATTTATACACAAAGTGCAAAATGCTGCAAACACAGTACCTGTTTCAATAAAGCATCCAAACATTAGATTTATTTAACCCAGTACATAGAGAAAAAAAATCTCATAATAGCAGGTTTATGATTTTTAGAACTAAATCTTACAGCTATAAAATACCATATGATTGCTATAGTCCAACAGAGCAGCCAGATCCAAACCAGCTGAATGTAGGGCATGTTAAACACTGAAAGTTTGTCCAAATTTCATCATTAAACTGAAAGAATATCCAAAAATGCAAAATGTGCTGAAAGATTAACATTTTCTGTGACACATACCCAACTTAAAGGTACAATATGCAGGAATTCTCTAGTGAAATTATCACTAAACTGTCAAACGTCTCAAACATGTTGGAAGGAAGATGTCAGGCTCCTCACCGTGGCTCAACTGTGTGTGCAGTGAGGTGAGCTGGAATCATGACAGAAGATTACATTTAAACAGACCATTGTGATGTTTTCTTCTTTCAAAAAAAAAATAATAAAATAAAAAATAAAGAGAAACATGCTCTTTGTTTACAATCCCACAAGGTTGCCAAGTCTGTGCCAAGCTAGCGCTGCAGCCCTGGCATTTGTAATTTGACCTTGGCTGCCAAAACATAGCAGCACTGTGGAAAGAATCCAAGCCAGAGAAAAGTAAACACACATAAGTTATTTATTTTAACCTAAGAAGCCACAGCATAGTTTTGTTTTACTCTAATGTTGAATAAAGAAGGCTAAAGGCTAATGTTAAGCTAACGATGCTAATAGTAAATTAGAAGCAAATATTTGGCTTTAAAAACATCTCAAACTACTTTTTCAGTTACCAACAACTCAATATTGCATTGAAATGTATTATCTATTAATTAGAAATTACTTTGTATGACTCGTCTACGCACGTCATCTAGAGTCTTCTGACGCTGGTCCAAAAATGGCAGCAGCCATCAAACTCTCGCAACAGGAGTGAGGTCACTTGTGCGTTCTGAAAATGGAATGCAGTACCTACATTTGACCACAGGATGCCACTTTCACTTAATTCCTACATAATGCACCTTTAATTTGTTGTATATAAAAGTTACTATGATGCATGTCAGAAATGTGATGATCAAATGGTGAAGAAAATAATGAAAATACATAATTATGATGCTGAAATTAAAAGCCCAACATCTACAAAAGTGATGTAACACATTCTTGATCACGAAATGTAGCTTTTTGTCATGTTTTAGATTCATTCATCCTTAAATGAGAATTCGTTTTTAGGCTCTCACTTTGCATGATTGGCCTTCAGATTCCTCCAACTAGATATGAACCCAAAAAATAACGATTCTGATCCATAATAATAAATGAGGTCTTTTTAAAAACAGATAATTCAGTTTTTAGAATTTTTCCAAAAATAAATCCTTTTTCTATTTACTTCATTTGATATCAGGGAAAATGAAGTTTGAATTTTTGAAATGCTTTTTAACAAACTCTTATAAACAGACACTGAACTAAACCAGAATATACCCACAATCACTTTACATATTTCAGTTTGACAGTCCGACCCAAATCCAGCTTCTACTCTTAGGAGCAAATGCAAATATACTACACAAAAATCCAGTAAGTAAAAATAAAAACCAGTCCTGCTGTAAATATTTCTGTTGAATCCGTACTCTTTGGTTGCAGCCTGGTTTCCAGTTCAACTCTTCTTTGATGGCTGAAAGATGTTTAACTTTTACTGCCAAAATGTTCTGGTTCTTTCCTTTATGCTGCTCGGTTAAAATAGGAGCTACATTTGCTCTTCTTTCTAATTATTTTTACGAAAAATAGAGTTGAATTGTGATTGAGTATTTTTCAGAAGTTCCCTTTACGGTATGGGTGGAGCTGAGAGAGAGACCGATACCAGGTTGACCTGCATTTAACCCAAAGTGGGTGGAGTTTGACTTAAGCCTCTTTCACACCGAGTGCGTAACAGATCAATCGATCAATCAAAATTTATTTATGAAGCGCTTTTCATACAAATGCAGCTCAAAGCGCTTTACAGTATTAAAAACAACCAGACAGCAGTCGGTTTCCCACCCCTCCCATACAGATTCACATAAGAGATCCCCTTTGTCAATCATTCAATCAAAGATACTTTATTAATCCCAGAGGAATAATTGTATCTCACTCCTCCCACCCTCAATCCCATCCCAAGCAGATACAAACTCCTGCACGCACACACACACATGCACGCACGCACGCACACACACACGTAATAAAGATTGGGCAGCTGGCTGAGTGCAGATGTAGTAATAATAATAATAATAATGCATTGAACTTATGTAGCGCTTTTCAAGACACCCAAAGAAGTTTTCACACACTCTCACATTCACACACTGCTAGTGATGGTAAGCTACTAGTAGCCACAGCCGCCCTGGGGTGGTCTGACAGAGGCGAGGCTGCCATTTGGCGCCGTCGGCCCCTCTGACCACCACTAACACAGGCAAGTTGGGTGAAGTGTCTTGCCCAAGGACACAACAGCAGGATACCCCTGGCGGGAGTTTGAGGCAACCCGCTCTACCACCTGAGCTACTGCTGCCCCAGTAGTAGGTACAAAGAAGACGAAAACGCCATCAAAGGAGCCAACTGCACCGGGAGCACCAAGACTGGCAGCCTTAGGCCTAGTCCACACGTAGCCGGGGTTTTTTGAAAACGAATATCCGCCCCTCCAAAAACTTGCATCCACACCACCTCGTTTTAAAAACAAACTCTGTCCACACGTACCCGGATAAATACGTTGTTAAGGACATGCCAGACCTGTAGGCGGCAGTACTTCCCCCGTTCTTAACCTCGTCCTTCGTCTGTGGTCTTCCGCAAGGAGCAGTAATTCCGCTTGCAAAAACAAACAAGCAAAAAGCGCTTGGACAATTGATGGATCGGGTAGTGACAGAGCGCAGCTGTGAGCATCCATGCTGTCGGCTAG